TGAATTGCGATACCATTTTATATGCATGATTTCAGAGGAATTCTAATGCGCTAGTGACACAATTGTGATCGCGTGTAAAAGACGCATGAAATGTGATGACAGTTACTCACGAAATGGTTGCAAATACATTAAACCAATGATGTCAAATATATGAAGACACAAAGTTATATTTTGTTACACTTTTATTTTTGATTTTTGCAGTCTATTTTTCGTTTATTGATAGCTTAACATTGCATGAAATACAAAATCAGTAGTTGTAAAGTTATCAATATTCGGAGTCATTTCTTGTTTGGTCATAGTGACCGAATTGGTAAAAATTTAAAAAAATGTATAAATAAACAAAGTTCGAAAGTCAATCTTATTTCTTCCTTTCACATTTACTCTGCTACATTTCTTGGTTCCACCTTCAAATCGAAGTTCACTTCAGGAGCAAGTGTATTGGTGAATTTGAATTTCATGGGCGCCTCCTGTGAAGTAATTCAATATGTCTCGAGTACGTCATTTTAATAACGTTAAATATACTTAATGAAAACAAAAAGACAAATGCACTCCCAAGCTGTAACAGAATATAATTGTATTATACATTGAAGTAATTTTTTGATTTCTATGAGTAACGTATAACAACCATATTGTCCACAAGAGCATACCCAATGTTTGTCATCACGTAAAGCCCGTATCAATAATTAACTTTATCACATAGCGTAACGAGATGATTCAATAAATAATTCGTGATTATAATGAAGCTAATATAGAAGTGTTTACAAACCGGTGTATTCTCTGCAGGTTTAATAGTGAACTGGTGTAAAATCTTCGCTAGTGCCATCTTGACTTCTATCAGTGCAAATCTCAAGCCAATGCAATTTCTCGGTCCTGCTCCAAACGGTTGAAACATCATCGGATCAATTTGGCTTATGTCGCGCATTCTGAAAATATCAACTCCAAATAAATGAGCGGTCAATACTGGACATCTACATTTTCATTTTTCATACTTCAAACTGTTATCATGTTTCTGTGGTTTTAAAGGCTACAAATCGCAATCGCTCGTGTGTAGGGAAAAAATAAGAGATACTAGAATTGAACATATTGATATTTCGTATTTATCATAACAGAACAATGTGGTGAAAAACTGCAGTGCATTTCATAGTCGTCTCACGCCAAAATTCATTGCGCGCTTTATTTTACGAGCATTCCAGGATATTGATTCGGTTTCAGTTGGACTAACTACCCATCATTCCTCTGTGTTTTTATGCCAGTGGATCCATATGCATATAATACAAGGATGCTATAGCAAAATTAAAAACTACTATTCTAAATAATTCCATATAAATCCACCACGTGGTAATATTTTAAGTAATTCAAGAGTTTTGGTGCACATCTAGTGGCAAATCTAGCTCAATTCTCGAATTATGTAGTTTAGTTGAATCATGTATGTCTGGGACGACTGACTTTGGTCAGATGAAACGTTCCAAAAATATCATTGTGCTAGTGTGAAGCGAAACTATTGAATTACTCGGAATATTAGCACGTGTTTGCTTTATATTTTCATGGAAATATTGGTCAATATTTAAATATCATATTTGACTTTCTCATTATACGAAATTGCTTGCTGTTTATACCATTTTTATCAGTTATGGCAAATATTACATTGAACTAAATTGACTATATTTAATGTCTATGTAGTACAAAAAAAATGGGTAATTCTAAATTATATTCTTAAGCTGCTCAGCCGTTGCTAAATGTTTATTGACCATTACTGTTTAATTATATAAATGAGTTGAATTGAAAAAAAGCAAACGGCTCGTCCCAATACTCAGGGCCATGTGACAGTCCATACATCGGTATGGCAACCAACAATCCTGCTGGTATTGTGAGGCCATTGATTGTTGTTTCTCTTTCAGCTATGCGAGCCTTTCTAAACATAAATATTTACGATGGAAGGTTCTACAAAGAAATGCATTTTACCCATAAATACACTCATAATTCAGAACGAAAGCATTATATAACTTTACGTTGCACTAAATATTGCACACGGAAAAAACCTAAAATTTGCAAATTTTCATCCTATTGTTCAACAGTCCAATTTTTGGAGTTTCAAGAATATTTTTTAGTTCAAAATTGTTCGTACTATACAATTCGCCTTTTTACCCACAAAAAATACAAACATTTAAAATAAAACGTACTTTATAATTGGCGTATAAAGTCTATAAGAGTTTCATTGATACACATGTCCAGAAACTTCAAGCCATTTATACCATCATAATCCAGTTTGCCCTGAATAATCAATAAAAATGTTATTATTATGCTGCACATCACGAATTAAGTATTGTGTACAGCGCATTGGGATCTTGTCACAAGTAACAAAAAATCTTTCCCATTTGAAAAACAAATTTGCAGGCATAGACAGTATGGAAGTCAATTTAATGTATTTCTGTGGCATTCAAAAAGCTTGATTGATTTTACGTCAAAAGGGTCCTAAAAAGCAGAAACTACATTAGAAATTAAATCTGTTCATAACATATATACATGAGTTTTTATCATTTCATCTCTTTCTTCCTGAACTTTGGCCTGTATTTCCGGATGTCGGGCAAAATTGAAGGAAGTCCAACTCATCAGGTTTCCAGTGTTTTCGTATCCAGCCATTATCATCAGCATAGAATTACCAATGATTTCGATTTTTGCCTAGGTAAACCATACTGCAGTAAATTCCAGGCTTTTGTAAATGTGCGTGTGATATGGCTCGGCTGCCAGACCATGTTGGAGTTTTACATGATTCGTTATTAAAAAAAGAAATTTACACGTGATACTCAGTTATATATAGAGAGACCGACAGGCTTTACATTAATCGAGATCCGCATGCTATATTTTTAAAGCGTATCTGCTGGATTGGTATCTTCACGTGAAAACTACCCAACTACTTGACTTTATAACAATAAAAAAATAGTGAAACAAAAACCTTTTTCGGCGCCCTCCTTCACATTATCCGGAGATATTTCAGTATCTAACATCAATTGCATCGAATCAAAACGTCCTTGTATGAGGAAACAATCTATGGCAGTGGTTCTCGAACTTTTTTAGTCCCAGAGCCGCATTTCAAACCTCAAAGTTATGAAGAGCCGCACACAAACAACGCAAGGTAAAATAGCAACAAACCTTAAGCGCGTATTTAAAATACCAAGCCATCGTAACAACAACACACGTAGCAACTAGAGCTGGGCAAAATATTCGAATAATAAAATATCGAATGGCATTTTAATATTCGAATATCTGGTACCACGTGACCTGCGTCGCTCTGCTTGGACACCTAACTCGCGCGTCTCCAACTCAATCGTGTATTGTGCGAGATTTCCCAACGGGGCTCGCTATCAGAAAAAAAGACAAATTTGATAAAGTCGTTGTCTTTGCGTTATGGTTTCATATGCTTATATTTGCAGTTAACGTATCGTTTCAATTCCATATTTTGCAAAAAAAAACGTACCGACCGTTCCGTAAATTTAGAAACGTCAAACCAGATTAGGTATTTAAAATAAATTTCCCAGATTTTAAACTCCGCATGCTGGGTGACATGTCATTAGCCATTTCTTGCATTACCGAACATAAAGTTGATTAAAATTAAATGTTAAAATTACGTTTCGGCGTTTTATTGTTAAAAAGGTGATTTTAGGTCGTTAGAAAACTTTAGTTATATAAATAGCATGGATTCAAAAACTACCAATTTTTTTTTAAAAAACTGGTATGAGTTACTTGTATGAAAAACACTCATTAAGTTGTAACCAGATAAGAAATGTCACGTCCTACTCCCTTTAAAGCACTTTGTATTAGCTTAGTGATCCCTTCCATCCTTGGCCGCCAAGTAATGTTTCGAATATGTGAATATTTTACTCGACCATGCATGGCCGTTGAACCAAGAGTAGAACGTAAAACTCGCATCTCGGTTAGTGTTCATTTTAAATAGGCAAGGTTAATTTACAAGCGGTGGTAAGGAAAATCAAATCCAAGACAGAGGATAATACGCAGAATACAATTAATTTGGTTTTGAAATCAGCCCTTAATGTATTCAACAGCTGTCGCTGATGTGAACGCAAGGGTATACTAGAAATATGAAACTTCGATATCCGGCGACCCCTCATTCTTGCAAAAAAACGAGAAAGGGCGGGAATATAGAATACCAACTTTAGAGTATCGCCGCCGAAAAGATCGCGGTGACAAAGACAATCAGAGATTGTGATGGACTTAACCAGTAAAAAAACGCTTTATTGCCGACTCATCGATGTTTTTATTAATTTCCAAATGGAGTATCGACCTCCGACGTTATGGATCCCTGTTATGTATAAAAAATAATCATTATTCGACTATTCGGTGAAAATATTCAAATTATTCGATTCGAAAAAAGATTCGATTTTTGATCATTGAGTTATTCGAGTATACATAATATTCGGAAATGGGACAAAAACTGAATCCTCCACGGAAGCAAGCCCAAGATTACAGCCACGTCTAAAATCTTTCCAAGTGGAAAGTGCCCGCGAAAACGCTTACTGTTGCGTCACTATTGCATCTTGTAGATTAGTCAACTCTACGCAAATATACACGGGGGAATCCATTCGACTAACTAATGGACTTCCACATTTTAATTTCAAGTCAATGATTAGTTTTTTCAATGAAAATTTAAATTAATTTTTAAAGCATAAACAAGAGCCGCAGGAAAGGTTGTTGAGAGCCGCATGCGAGAATCACTGATCTATGGTATATATGCAGTCACATGTCAATAGCTTAAATATAAGAAAATTTACACCTGCCAGTTGTGGGTTTCCCAGAGATATTCATTCTGTGTATATTTTCAGTAGTTTATCAGATCGTTTAACTTGAGTAAGGTATCATATCATCATATGTAAGGTATCATTCCTGATGCTGCAACACAAATTTGTCCGCTGTGCTTTGCTACACACATTTCGTATAGTAATAAATCAAGAAATACCGTATCATGTCGATTATTTTTCCTTCTTTCTATCACGTGATTTGAAGTCTCCTGAAGTACTTGAGCGACTCACCACGAACCAACGGAATATTCAATTTTTCGAAGACCTTCTCGAGAAACTCAGACAACACTGTGTTTATTGGATAAATTTATCAAATATCAGTGAATAGCTATTTACGGTCAAAATATCTAGATGTAACAAAACATTCTCTAACAAAATACAACAACAGTATTACTCATGAAAAATATATTTGTGGTATCATTTGTTATTTATCAACAAAACGTCCTTCAACTATGTATATGTAAATCTATATTTAACTTGATGCCAAAGAGCACAATTTTTCACTTTGTCTACAAAATACAATAAAACTAGATGATATGTTATAAACTTATTTTGCACGAAATTTGAGTGACAATAGACTAAGTGTAATCATGTTTATGAGAATATTATATCCATCTGAAAACTACAATAAATTATTATCTATAAGTAAAACAAACATCTTGCTCAAAACTCCTCCACCTTTCATGAGCTCTTCAGCCTTCTTAACAATTTCGGGCTCATTTTCAGTGTCGTTAATTGAATCTACTTTGGTACTAAGAGCTGCAGAGCAGACCACATCCAACGAAATTCGAGAAAAGAAACTAAAAACGAATTATTAATACACGGCGATAATGCACTGGTTGTAATTGTAATAGTATTTATTATTTTGAAGAAGAGAAATATTTATAAAATGTAGTTGTTTTACCAGTGCACGTTATGGTATATCTGGAGGTTCTGGAACGTCTGAACAGAAATTTTCAAGTTGTTTTGAGAATGTCAGAACACAATTTCGGAATAACATATTACGTGAGTATAAAGCGTTGATTAATTGCCTTTTATACAGCATGCTAACATTGTTTCACAGCTAAACTGCTGGTCATTAACTAAAGCACTTACTCTTTTGAATTGAAAACTCCCCCATTGTTCTCAACCTTCTTATTTAATGATACAATAGCGTTATCAGCACACCATTCCATTATCGTCGTCATTTGCCTCAACTTTGCGGATGAAAAAGTTGGTGTCAGTGTGTTTCTATAATAATATTATTGCAAATATATTCGTATCAATATGGTAACATAATTAAGTGCATCGAAAACCAGGAAGCTTCATGAAGTCAAGTATTTCTGTTTTAATACAGACATTATACGTGAAATAAATATCAATTAGGGCCGGGTTTTGCAACCTTTTATCTAATGTGTACATAAATAAATATTGGACCTCCTGAAGTATGCGCACCAAGATGGCGCACAGCCTGAACTCAGGTTGTGTACCAGGTTAGGGTTCAGGTTATGCGACATCTTGGTGCGCATACTTCAGGAGTACCTAAATATTATAGTAATGACGAAGAACTAATGGATATTAATAATACTACAGAAAATATAAATCAAAATTCCTCCATAAGAACAACAAAACTCTAAGAAGAACAACTCAACGTAGCAGATAAACATTATATTATACAGATTTTTTGTGAATCACAGTTACGATTAAAATAAAATAATGCATTTTTCTTTGGTATATCTCGTGATATCAATGTATACCTCATACGTTTCCACTGTTTTAGATCAACATTGGTTAGACTGCTGTTCAACTCTTCGCCGCTAATCTTCAAGAAACGACGCTAAACATATACAAAAAAATACAATCCCAAAGATGTCAGGCTAGCAACAGAAAGTTGGCAGTTGCCTAAGGTCCTATGTATCGCTTTATGGTAAATGATAATTATCATTTAATATATCTTTTTTTTACGTTTAATCCAAACAGCGATATATGATGGTGATTGAAAAAGTCACCCACTCAACAATAAATTTAACAAAATATATCACCACTCCACCTGGCGCATTGCAAAATTTGAAAACTCTTTTATGAAAATTTGTCTCAGTATGTCAGGATCATGAATGTGAATCGTTGGGGTAATTCTGAAGTAAGTCCTGAAAATATTTAAATTTGGTAAATGTACGAAGTACAGTTAGCAAATGAAAAATCTAAAGATTATCCATTTTGCTTTGTTAGGCGTTTCGCTTTTTCTCGTCTGTATTGATATAAAACGGCTCATGTTTTCCAGATAACTCTGCAACTTCACCGGTGAATAAGGGATTTTTGCCGTCAAGTTGGCGATTGGAGACTTTGTTTTAAGAATAATTGCAAAAAATTCCTTACTTATATAGAAGCAAAGTATTGAAAATTGTATATTGATGAAATTCACCTACCCGTACACATTTCCAAACTTTTCTTTGCATTTGTTATCATACCGCAACGCTGCCTGAAAAATTGAAATTCATACGGAAAATTTAGGTGTTTACGATATTCTTATAACGACGCAGCAATAAGAGTGCAATGTAACTTTGGCCTTAAAACGTCTTTGAAAATAACACACTAAATTAGGGTTGCCATACCGTCCGGAAAATTCCGGACATGCCCGGAATTTACGGTTAAATTTTGCGTCCGGGAAGAATTTAAAAATTCTCAAATGTCCGGAATCCGGAATTTTACTGCACCTGCAATCTTACTATGCACACTGCTAATACAGAACATTGTTATTTCGTACCGCGCGCATATTTTCACTACGAAGTCATGAAAATAGTTATGCACCGTCCGGAATTTTGCTTTTTCAAATATGGTGACCCTACACTAAATAGTGAATGTGGCAATGCAGTTCAGGAATAAATTCGTTATTTCAGGTAAAATACATTAAAAAGACCGGAAATTGCTAATTTCGAATTTCTCCAAATTCATGAATTGGATCGATATAGGGCCCGTTGTATATAGACAAACAGATGACAACCAAAAATATAATTGGATCGATGACATATGGTAATTAGTATTCCATACTCGAATCGATAACCCCTAATGGAATCGATATCACCATACGCACATACGTGGTATGGTTTCAATTGGATATTCAAAAGGGAGGTATTAAAAGGTCTGGTATTAGGAGTCGAATCGTCTGTATCAGTGTCGTTTCGTCATGTCTTCATCGTTTGTTCTCCGTGTCTATCTACAATATTAAACTACTTCAACAACGTTCAACATCGTTCTTCAACGTGTTTTTATTGGCTAAAATGGTGACAACGTGTTCTTTATTGGCTAAAGCAGTACACATAATTATAGCAACTATAAAATAAAAAGCAGGAGAGAAATTTATCCAGATAGTCATTAATAATTTAGCAGTTTTTCCGTCGTTACCGCAAGCTTGAATTGGTAGCCAGTTAAATATGCCTACCTCCGCTCCGAAAGTATAAGATAAGTGTCCAAACTTTCGAATTGAACAAGGCTCGTGTGGAATATTAATATTTTTCAGGTATTGCCATTTCCGATGAATATAATATCTGAACAAACGAAAAGAGGAAAATGAAACACACTGGAGAAAACTTGTGTACCAGACCATGGCTAAATATCTACCAAACACCTTTTTTAACTATAACAATGCCCAATTAAACAATTGCAATTTATTTTAATCAACTAAAAAATGGAAATTAGACATAAATGAATTTGATACATACGAGTACGACACAGTCAGAATGTAGCCAAAGCGTATAGGAAGCTTGTCAACGCGGATGGTGGCAAATGGCAAGCTTTACCGACCAAGAGATTACGTCATTCGCGGCGGTTGGAGGGTATGACAGGCATTGTCGCATTATACATATATGGGCACGACAGTGTTGTGCTCTCGAGCAAACAAGAGCCCGATGAGATGGAAATTGAATCTCGTTTACGATCCGAGCAATAAGTATAGTACGTTCCCGATATAGCTATATAAACACTATCCGTATGTTCTAGCATGTCATAGTTAATCAATCATCATTTATTCATCAAAACAATATAAGCGTATTATAAGAAAAAAAACATTATAAATAACAAAAGCTTATTAAAAAGTCTGGGACATTCTGATACAACAATGATCACATTCATTTATTTTTTTTTCTGCTAAAATAACAAAAGACCCAAAGAAAATAAAAATTTCTGGTCTGTGATTTACATACAACTAGTCAGCCCGGAGAGCATGTTGACTGGGATTGTTTCGAAAAACAAGTCGAAGTATTTAGTCACGTTTTGTGTTTCATTTTTAACCCTGCATTCGAGCCGCAATAACAGTAAGCACAGACGCTGCCAAGGTTCTGCGTCAAAACTTACTTTAGAAGATTATAAGATAGATATAGTCGTTTATGCGAACTTACCTGCCTAACGCCAATAAGCTGATGATTAAAACCCAAGTCTCAATGGATAGAATGTCCAGTGGAGTGATCATCTTTATGCTGTAGCTTCAATCCAATCTTCGAGGCCGATACAACTTGTCGAACCTCTGTCTGTATATCAACTAAAGAAGCTGTGTTCGAAAACCAACCAAATACGTGCGGCGTAAAAATAAATAAAATGTAGAACTGTTTCAAGACGGATACGGGCAGGAAAACATCTCGGCTAATTGAACACATTGATCTTTTTTGTATATTTCAGTAAATATTTGCAAGATATATCAAAAAGGTCGCTCGTTAATTTGATCTTTACCTCGAAGGCAAGTAAAGCTATTATTTCTCCATGAAAAACATCAACATCAAAATCTAGTTTCAGTTTAGTTGTCGCAGCATCAGGCGGGCCAGATTGAATTACCTAACGGGCTGGATATGGCCCACGGGCCGTAGTTGGCCAATGTCAGGTCTAGCCTTAGGTGACTACAACATGACCCTGTGAACAGTTGTTTTTCAACAGCAACCAATAGTTTCGCATACGGGCCACGAGCAAGGCAGTTTACGGCGTAGTCTAGCGCGTAGCTTTCTCGTTACTCCTGAAGTATGCGTACCAAGATGGCGAACACCGGAGGGTAGTATGTGTACCAGGTTAATCCATAATTTTAGGTACGAATACTCGTTAAATGCGAGGCAAAATGGAAGTAGGCATTGAAGATGATGTTCTGGGTTTAGGAGCCTGGACACGCCACATGTGTACATTGGTTCTTTCCACAGCAGGCGTTCACGTGGTAGATTGCACCATTGAGTAACGTCGAGAACTATGTAAACCTTATGTGAGTGAAGATGTGTGTATTTTATGACGAATAGATATTTTTATATTGGTAGACAATTATACATTCGTGATTTGGCAGTCGCGCGCTAGATACCGTTAACATATAAGCTCGCGCTGAGACACGGAAATATTTATTGCTCACGGTAGTAGACAACTCGGTACATTGCTTGAAAATATCGTATCGCCATTTGCCAGGGCCGGCGGTGACTAGGTTGCGTTGCATAAGTTGGTAAATGAGTTAAGGTGGAAAATAACATCAAGGGTTAACATAAAATTATTGGTACTAGACCAGATAAAAATAGAGATATTTCTCATACAATCATTGCGGAAACTTTACTTGGCTTCGAGGTAAAGATCAATTAACGAGCGACCTTTTTGATATATCTTGCGAATATTTACGGAAATATACAAAAAAGATCAATGTGTTCAATTAGCCGAGATGTTTTCCTGCCCGTATCCGTCTTGAAACAGTTCTACATTTTATTTATTTTTACGCCGCACGTATTTGGTTGGTTTTCGAACACAGCTTCTTTAGTTGATATACAGACAGAGGTTCGACAAGTTGTATCGGCCTCGAAGATTGGATTGAAGCTACAGCATAAAGATGATCACTCCACTGGACATTCTATCTATTGAGACTTGGGTTTTAATCATCAGCTTATTGGCGTTAGGCAGGTAAGTTCGCATAAACGACTATATCTATCTTTTAATGTAAGTTTTGACGCAGAACCTTGGCAGCGTCTGTGCTTACTGTTATTGCGGCTCGAATGCAGGGTTAAAAATTAAACACAAAACGTGACTAAATACTTCGACTTGTTTTTCGAAACAATCCCAGTCAACATGCTCTCCGGGCTGACTAGTTGTATGTAAATCACAGACCAGAAATTTTTATTTTCCTTGGGTCTTTTGTTATTTTGGCAGAAAAAAATAAATGAATTTGATCATTGTTGTATCAGAATGGCCCAGAATTTTTAATAAGCTTTTGTTATTTATAATGTTTTTTCTTATAATACGTTTATATTGTTTTGATGAATAAATGATGATTGATTGACTATGGACATGCTAGACATACGGATAGTGTTTATATAGCTATATCGGGTACGTACTATACTTATTCCTCGGATCGAAAATATGATTTTATTTCCATCTCATCGGGCTCTTGTTTGCTCGCGAGCACAACACTGTCGTGCCCATATATGTATAATGCGACAATGCCTGTCATACCCTCCAACCACCGCGAATGACGTAATCTCTTGGTCGGTAAAGCTTACCATTTGCCACCATCCGCGTTGACAAGCTTTCTATATACTTTGGCTACATTCTGGCTGTGTCGTACTCGTATGTATCAAATTCATTTATGTCTAATTTCCATTTTTTAGTTGATTAAAATAAATTGCAATTGTTTAGTTGGGCATTGTTATAGTTAAAAAAGGTGTTTGGTAGATATTTAGCCATGGTCTGGGACACAAGTTTTCTCCAGTGTGTTTCATTTTTCTCTTTTCGTTTGTTCAGATATTATATTCATCGGAAATGGCAATACCTGAAAAATATTAATATTCCACACGAGCCTTGTTCAATTCGAAAGTTTGGACACTTATCTTATACTTTCGGAGCGGAGGTAGGCATAGATATTTGGCTACCATTTCAAGCTTGCGCCGGTAACGACGGAAAAACTGCTAAATTATTAATGACTATCTGGATAAATTGCTCTCCTGCTCTTTATTTTATAGTTGCTATAATTATGTGTACTGCATTGCCACATTCACTATTTAGTGTGTTATTTTCGAAGACGTTACAAGGCCAAACTTACATTGCACTCTTATTGCTGCGTCGTTATAAAAATCTCGTAAACACCTAAATTTTCTGTGTGAATTTCAATTTTTCAGACAGCGTTGCAGTATGATAACAAATGCAAAGAAAAGTTTGGAAATGTGTACGGGTAGGTGAATTATTCTTAAAACAAAATCTCTTATCGCCAACTTGACGGTAAAAATCCCTTATTCACCGGTGAGGTTGCAGAGTTATCTGGTAAACAATTTTGAGAAAACATGAGCCGTTTTATATCAATACAGACGAGAAAAAGCGAAACGCCTAACAAAGCAAAATGGATAAACTTTAGATTTCATTTGCTAACTGTACTTTGTACATTTACCAAATTTAAATATTTTCAGGACTTACTTCGGAATTACTCCAACAGTTCACATTCATGATCCTGACATACTGAGACAAATTTTCATAAAAGAGTTTTCAAATTTTGCAATGCGCCAGGTGGAGTGGTGATATATTTTGTCAAATTTATTGTTGAGTGGGTGTTATCAATTAATTTTAACAACTTTTTCAATCACCGTCATATGTCGATGTTTGGATTAAACGTAAAAAAAAGATATATTAAATGATAATTATCATTTACTATAAAGCGATACATAGGACCTTATGTAACTGCCACCTTTCTGTTGCTAGCCTGACATCTTTGAGATTGTATTTTTTTGTATATGTTTAGCGTCGTTTCTTGAAGATTAGCGGCGAAGAGTTGAACAACAGTCTAACCAATGTTGATCTAAAACAGTGGAAACGTATGAGGTATACATTGATATCACGAGATATTCCTAGAGAAATACACGAGAAAAATGCATTATTTTATTTTAAACGTAACTGTAATTCACAAAAAAAATTTGTATAATCCAATGTTTACGTGCTACGTTAAGTTGCTCTTCTTAGAGTTTTGTTGTTCTTATGGAGGAATTTTGATTTGTATTTTCTGTAGTATTATAATATCCATTAGTTCTTCGTCATTACTATAATATTTAGGTGCTCCTGATGTATGCGCACCAAGATGTCGCATAACCTGAACCCCAACCTGAGTTCAGGTTGTGCGCCATCTTGGTGCGCATACCTCAGGAGGTCCAATATTTATTTATGTACACATTAGATAAAGATTGCAAAATCCGACCCCAATTGATATTTATTCTAAGTATAATGTCTGCATTGAAACAGAAATACATGACTTCATAAAGCTTCCTGGTTTTGGATGCACTTAATTATGTTACCATATTGGTACGAATATATTTGCAATAATATTGTTGTAGAAACACACTGACACCAACTTTTTCATCCGCAAAGTTGAGGCAAATGACGACGATAATGGAATGGTGTGCTGATAACGCTATTGTAGCATTAAATAAGAAGGTTGAGAACAATGGTGGAGTTTTCAATTCAAAAGAGTAAGTGCTTTAGTTAATAACCAGCACTTTAGCTGTGAAACAATGTTAGCATGCTGTATAAAAGGCAATCAACCAACGCTTTATACTCACGTAATATGTTATTCCGAAATTGTGTTTTGACATTCTCAAAACAACTTGAAAATTTCTGCTCAGACGTAACGTGCACTGGTAAAACAACTTCATTTTTTAAATATTTCTCTTCTTCAAAATAATAAATACTATCACAATTACAACCAGTGCATTATCGCCGTGTATTAATAATTCGTTTTTAGTTTCTTCTCTCGAATTTCGTTGGATGTGGTCTGCTCTGCAGCTTTTAGTACCAAAGTAGATTCAATTAACGACACTGAAAATGAGCCCGAAATTGTTAAGAAGGCTAAAGAGCTCATGAAAGGTGGAGGAGTTTTGAGCAAGTTGTTTGTTTTACTTATAGGTAATAATTTATTGTAGTTTTCAGATGGATATGATATTCTCATAAACATGATTACACTTAGTCTATTGTCACTCAAATTTCGTGCAAAATAAGATTTCAACCACATATCATCTAGTTTTATTGTATTCTGTAGAGAAAGTGAAAAATTGTGCTCTTTGGCATCAAGTTAAATATAGATTTACATATACATTGTTCGTTGAAGCTGTTGAAGGACGTTCTGTTGATAAATAACAAATGATACCGCAAATATATTTCTCATGAGTAATACTGTTGTTGTATTTTGTTAAAGAATGTTTTGTTACATCTAGATATTTTGACCGTAAATAGCTATTCACTGATATTTGATAAATTTATCCACATTTATTTATAATAAACACAGTGTTGTCTGAGTTTCTCGAGAAGGTCCTCGAAAAATTGAATATTCCGTTGGTTCGTGGTGAGTCGCTCAAGTACTTCAGGAGACTTACGGATCACGTGATAGAAAAAAGGAAAAATAATCCACATGATACGGTATTTCTTGATTTATTACTATACGAAATGTGTGTAGCAAAGCACAGCGGACAAATTTGTGTTGCAGCATCAGGAATGATACCTTACATATCATGATATGATACCATACTCAAGTTTAACGATCTGATAAACTACCAAAAATATACACAGAATGAATATCTCTGGTAACTTTTGGGAAACCCACAACTGGCAGGTGTAAATTTTCTTATATTTTAGCTATTGACATGTGACTGCATATATATACCATAGATTGTTTCCTCATACAGGGACGTGTTGATTTGATGCAATTGATGTTAGATGCTGAAATATCTCCGGATAAAGTAAAGGAGGGCGCCGAAAAAGGTTTTTGTTTCACTATTTTTTTATGGTTATGAAGTCAAGTAATTGGGTAGTTTTCACATGAATATACCAATCCAGCAGATACGCTTTAAAAATATAGCATGCGGATCTCGATTGATGTAAAGCCTGTCGGTCTCTATATACATAACTGAGTATTACGTGTAGGTTTCTTTTTTTAATAACGAATCATGTAAAACTCCAACATGGTCTGGCAGCCGAGCCATATCACACGCACATTTACAAAAGCCTGGAATTTACTGCAGTATGGTTTACCTAGGTTTGACAAAAATCGAAATCATTGGTAATTCTATGCTGATGATAATGGCTGGATACCAAAACACTGGAAACCTGATGAGTTGGACTTCCTTCAATTTTGCTCGACATCCGGAAATACAGGCCAAAGTTCAGGAAGAAATAGATGAAATGATAAAAACTCATGTATGTTATAAACAGATTTAATTTCTAATGTAGTTTCTACTCAGCTTTTTAGGACCCTTTTGACGTAAAATCAATCAAGCTTTTTGAATGCCACAGAAATACATTAAATTGACTTCCATACTGTCTATGCCTGCAAATTTGTTTTTCAAATGGGAAATATTTTTTGTTACTTGTGACAAGATCCCAATGCGCTGTACACAATACTTAATTCGTGATGTGCAGCATAATAATAACATTTTTAATGGTTATTCAGGGCAAACTGGATTATGATGGTATAAATGGCTTGAAGTTTTTGGACATGTGTATCAATGAAACTCTTAGACTTTACACGCCAATTATAAGGTACGTTTTATTTTAAATGTTTGTATTTTTTGTGGGTGAAAAGGTGAATTGTATAGTACGAACAATTTCGAACTAAAAATGTTCTTGAAACTCAAAAAATTGGACTGTTAAACAATAGGATGAAAATTTGCAAATTTTAGGTTTTTTCCGTGTGCAATATTTAGTGCAACGTAAAGTTATTAAAGTTAAATTGAAATTGGGAATTGATAAGAACATTTTATATAATCACTAAGGAAGGTAATGTTGGTTAATTTGTCATGTAATTTTAGCTAGCCTGCCCTATATAATGCTTTCGTTCTGAATTATGAGTGTATTTATGGGTAAAATGCATTTCTTTGTAGAACCTTCCATCGTAAATATTTGTGTTTAGAAATGCTCGCATAGCTGAAAGAGAGACAACAATCAATGGCCTCACAATACCAGCAGGATTGTTGGTTGCCATACCGGTGTATGGACTGGCACATGACCCTGATTATTGGGACGAGCCATTTGCTTATAAACCGGAAAGGTATCTTTTTTTAATTCAACTCATTTATATAATCAAACCATAATGGGCAATAAACACTTAAAGCAACGACTGAGCAGCTTAAGAATATAATTTCAAAATTACCCAGTTTTTTGTACTACATAGACATTAAATATAGTCAATTTAGTTTTAATGTAATATTTGCCATAACTGATAAAAAAATGGTATAATGAGCAAGTCAAATATGATATTTAAATATTGACCAATATTTCCATGTAAATATAAAGCAAACACGTGCTAATATTCCGAGTAATTCAATAGTTGCGCTTCACACTAGCTCAATGATATTTTTGGAACGTTTCATTTGACCAAAGTCAGTCGTCCCAGACATACATGATTCAACTAAACTACATAATTCAAGAATTGAGCTAGTTTTGCCACTAGATGTGCACCAAAACTCCTGGATTACTTAGAATATTACCACGTGTTTGATTTATATGGAATTACTTAGAATAGTAGTTTTTAATTTTGCTATAGCATCCTTGTATTATATGCATATGGATCCACTGGCATATAAACACAGAAGAAGGATAAGTAGTTAGTCCAACTGAAACCGAATCAATATCCTGGAATGCTCGTAAAATAAAGCGCGCAATGAATTTTGACGTGAAACGACTATGAAATGCACTGCAGTTTAAAATAGTTTTTCACCACATTGTTATGTTATGATAAATACGAAATATCAATATATTCAATTCTAGTATCTCTTATTTTTTTCCCCTACACACGAGATGATCCCTTGCGATTTGTAGCCTTTAAAACCACAGAAGCATGATAAAAGTTTGAAGTATAAAAAATGAAAATGTAGATGTCCAGTATTGACCGCTCATTTATTTGGAGTTGATATTTTCAGAATGCGCGACATGAGCCAAATTGATCCGATGATGTTTCAACCGTTTGGAGCTGGACCGAGAAATTGCATTGGCTTGAGATTTGCACTGATAGAAGTCAAGATGGCACTAGCGAAGATTTTACACCAGTTTACTATTAAACCTGCCGAGAATACACCGGTTTGTAAACACTTCTATATTAGCTTTATTATAATCACGAATTATTTATTGAATCATCTCGTTACGCTATGTGATAAAGTTAATTATTGATACGGGCTTTAAGTGATGATAAACATTGGGTATGCTTTTGTGGACAATATGGTTGTTATACGTTACTCATAGAAATAAAAAAATTACTTCAATGTATAATACAATTATATTCTGTTACAGCTTGGAGAGTGCATTTGTCTTTTTGTTTTCATTAAGTATATTTAGCGTTATTAAAATGACGTACTCGAGACATATTAAGTTACTTTCACAGGAGGCGCCCATGAAATTCAAATTCACCAATACCCTTGCTCCTGCAGTGAACTTCGATTTGAAGGTGGAACCAAGAAATGTGGCAGAGTAAATGTGAAAAGTGGAAATGAGATTGACTTTCGAACTTTGTTTGATTATACATTTTTTTCAATTATTACCAATTCGGTCACTATGACCACAATAAGAAATGACTCCGAATATTGATTACTTTACAACTACTGATTTTGTGTTTCATGCAATGTTAAGCTATTAATAAACAAAAAATAGACTGCAAAAAGCAAAAATAAAAGTGTAACAAAATATAACTTTCTGTCTTCATATATTTGACATCTTTGATTTAATGTATTTGCAACCATTTCGTGAGTAACTGTCACCGCATTTCATGCGTCTTTTACACGCCATCAAAATTTGTTTAGTCACTAGCGCAATTAGAATTCCTCTGAAAACATGCATATTAAATGGTATCTCAATTCACGTTAATCAACTTCATAGATTGAATTATTGGGTGCTCCCGTAGTATGTGAATCAAGATGGCGGGCCCCGAAACGTAGTATGTGTGCCAAGTTAGGGTTAGGCCATAATTTCAGGTACAAACACTACGGGAGTCACTTGGATAGTCCCCGAACTCGTACCAGAACTAAAATAAGGTAAATTGGAATAAAATTATGGCCTAACCTTTACCTGGTACACGTACTATGTTCAGGAGCCCGCCATCTTGGTGCACATACTACGGGAGCGCCTTTTATTGCATGCACATACGTAAACAATGGTGACCGTACATTTGAACCCATGTACATTTGAACCCATGCGTATATCCACGGGTTCAATCTATATGCGGGTGCTAAAACCCATGGGTTAGGGTTAGCATGGGTTTAACTATCCGTGAAACAAAAAAAAATCCATAGGTGCAATAGCATACAGGTGCAATTGCCATGGGTTCAAATGTACGTGGGTTCAAATGTAATGGAACCGTAAACAATACCTGGACTGAAGACCTGAAGTAAAAAGTGGGATGAAACTACTAGAAACATAGTTGCTATAGTATCCATCATGTTTGAAATATATAATATATATATATTACTGTTAATCTGTATGCTCCCAAAGTTGAACATTCCGAGCTTAGGTTCGAAACAAGGCTGTGAAATCCGTAAAAATTTACTCCCAACTATGGGTTAAGAAAAATTTATATCTACGACTCTGAGTCCTAAAAATTTCGACTCTAGCTTCAAACTGAGAGATATGTAGCAGGGCGAACCACTGACCCGCCACGATTTTCCGGTAAACCTCTACGCTATGAATTATTAATATTTCAGTGATAAATATTGAACCCTTTTGCAAGCGCATAAGCAAGGGGGGTAGTATAATCTTTTGGATGTACACGAGAATCAGATGCTACTTTGCTGTTTACTTTATGCCGTAAGGCGTGAACAATACCGAATTAAACAACATCGGAAGGTCCCCGCTTTCATTGGTCGATTAGGAATTACCTAGCTAGACCTAGTAGGCTATAAAGTAATGAAGGTTGTGACAGATTAGAAACGCTTTGTGTTTGTCCGAACCGATTACAGTTGAATGACGACAGAATGAAAGCATTTTGTCGTAAAATGCTAACCCTCACAACGATTAAAATTTATCTACTGTATGGTTACATTAGGCCCGACATGTTTTGCCTGATTAGACCTGGGAAACAAGCAACAACTCCAAATTTAGAAATATAAATTTTCGGGATAAAGAGCTACGTATATTGTCGCCTTCAATGGTAAAGCATAGTAATTGCTGTTATTTTCAGTTTTATGCTTACCATTGCAGCAATAAGCGATCATGAAAATGTATTACAAAGAGTACAATGTGTTAGTTCCCGCAGGATCAGATGATTTTATGCTGTCTAATCCTAAACTTGCTTTATTAATATTAACATATTAATCAACAATCAAACCAATAATCGGACCTGAGGCGTCGAAATTGCGAACGGCTGAAATTAAAATAACATTATTTGCGAAAATACACGATTATTTCATTTACTTTCTAACAGAATATAATGTTGTTTATGTTCCACGTTGCAACATTTTCGTCACCACCACTCAATTTGGCGTTGTTAAGTATTACATCACGACGAACAACTTGGTGTGCCAACTCGTGATCCGGATGGCAACACTGTGTTGCAACTTGCGTGACGTAATGACCTCCAATGCGTAATTTTCGTTGCTTTGAATAATATGAAGATCACACGAAAAGACACAGCGCTAACTCGAAAACAGCATAAATGAATCCGCTCTAGTTATATAAAGCAACACTAAGCAATAATGATGATAGTGTTTTGCAGATAGATTATTTTATCGAGACAATTTTTGGAAACTATTTCAATGCTAAATTCATGTTGTGTAGTGCGTATCTTCGTGACAGCAATCTTCTTTTAATATATGATTCATTTCTTTAGTTTTTTTCAACAGGTGGCCAAAGTGAATCCACACACAGGGCAGTGGTAAAGAAAGAGAAAATGTTGTATATGTGATATTGGGAAATATATATGTTTTATAATTATAATTATCATCTTGATAATTATAATATATATTTTTATACGGCGCTTATTCAGGCTATTCTTTCCGAGCAAAGCTGTACGTTCACGTACATCTAAAGCTATTTTTTTTTAGATTAATTTGTGTTTAGTATTCACTATATATTGGATAGGTAGGCATTTCAAGACATATTGTTGAATACGAACGTTTACATTCAGTGCTACAATCCACTTAAGTTTTCAAACAAAATCTCCTTAAGGCTGCGCTTCAGCGTGATTGGTAGAGAAATAGCATATCGACAACAACACGAATACGTCACACACTACTCGTAGTAGATAAAATGTTTGCTTCCATTCCCTCATTATAGTGTAGTATAAGAATACAATGACGGTACTTGTAGAGCTAATATGCGACAATCTGAGAGTCTTTATTCAACATGTCTCTCAAAAGAAATCAAGAATCATGAGGCCAGGTGTAGCATAGTTATAGGAATCAGAAACCGATACCAATATCTAATTCTAGTTGATATGAATTTGTAAGCGGACATATATCTGTATATAATTCTAGTGAATGTTACAATAGGCTACTACATTAGCCCAAGATGTTAGGATTTCACACATAGGTAGTACAGTTGTGCCAATGTGCCAAGACTTTTGCTTATCACTATAATAACTTGAATTTTAGACTCTGACAAATTGTAATAATATAAACGAGTTCAACAGCTATATATATATGATGATAACTCCACTGGACATTTTATCTATTGAATCGTGGATCTTGATTGCAAGCGTGATATTACTCATCAGGTTGGTATGTACGATTCGTTACTGTCACTTCCGACTGGATTTGTATTACGCCAGTAAATATATGCTCGAACACTGCAATTTCTGGTGTCAAAAGAGAAACATCGTTTGCTTGAACCATTGCTATGTACGCCTATATATATTTTTAATCATTACGTAATGTAATAGTGATTTTCCATTAGTTAAAATGAACAGTTTACGATATGTTTGTTGGCACTTTCTGATTTGAGCCAATTTTATTTTTAGGTATTATTTGAACCAGAAATGGAGGTATTTCGAAAAGCTCGGCATTCCTTATAATCCACCGTCTATACTTAAACTCGGAAATATACTTTCCGCCTTCGATAAAGATGTAAGTCGATTGAGTTCATAGGATTTGTAACTATAAAGTTGTTGCATAGGTGTAATTAAGATGAATTGGATGCTGAAATCCGTAATGCTTTATTTTCAGAATCATCTCAACTTCTGTAATTTATTTGTATATTTACGACTAATCAATCCTTAGGTTTATACACAGCGAGCTGTCAAGGAAACGAATCTTGTACAACGATCAAAAACGATTTTAATTTAGACATAAATTATTGCTCAAACAAATTTGAACAATAAATGCAGGCTTTCTCAAATACAAGTTCACAAAAGTACATACTATTGAATGAAAAATTGAATGACTGAAACATAAGTTAAGAATGTATTATGCAATAAAAAAATATTCCGATTAATTATCGTCCATTCATATTGAAAATAATTTGCTATTTAAGTAGGCTTTGGTTGTTAATGTTTATGTTTTAACGTACTGACAAATCGTCTTTTTTTGCCAAATATAAAATAACACGTTATTTTTGTAGAATGCGTTCGAATATGACAACCAATGTAAGAAGAAGTATGGAAATATCTGGGGGTATGAAATTTTACTTATTAAGCAATAAATTCAATTTTGAATGTACTTGTCGACAGTTGCAGTGTGTAAAAAATACTGACATTCTTTGCTGCCCTATAATTACACGGTTATGTTAGTTAAATAGTTCGTTTCACATATTCAAGATTTAAAAAGAATGTAAGTAAATTGGAATAATTTTCGTCGATTTCTAGTATACTATTTCTGTTTTCATCAAACGTAAATCACAAACTTTTCTAGTGCATGCTCACTCCCATTGTAATATGTATGTGCGCAAAACCGAATGTTGTTTGGAATCTTGGAATAATTTTTTCCATCATGGAACAATATAATGAAATATTTATATATTTTTTGTTTTTATCACCTCATTATTTTTCACAGGGCATTTACAGGGGTATCGCCAAGTATATCGGTTCACGATCCTGATATTTTGAGACAAATTTTTATCAAAGAATTTCAAACATTCCCAGACAGACAGGTTAGTGCTTCTGATACATCTATTTCAAATATCATCGCCTTTTTAATTGGATACACATTGGAATTTTGTGTATCAGCGTAGAAGAAAATATTTATAGGAAGATAAAAATTTGATAATGAAGTGTTTTATACTCTAACATTTTTTAACATGATTATGTGTATACTGTATAGGATACTACTATGTTCGTCTAACTCAGGGGTTCTCAAACTTTTGGTGTTGCGGAGCCCTTGAAAGGTTGAATATTATTCGCGGAGCCCCAAAATAAATTTTAAAATTGTTACTTTCAGATTATTATTCCCGAGCAAATTAAAAGTACTTTATTTATTCTAAATGCTGAACCTTTTTTAATAGGGTTAACACAAGTCATAAATAAATCTAAACTTTATACTAAAGCTGTAAATTTGACACTTGACGAACATATTAATAAATTAGGGATCGAATCTTTTCTTTTTTGACATTTTTGGAAGACTTAATTAAAAGGCCGTTAGTAACGTGCACTATTTCATTTTGTTACAATCGCCGATTTTTTCCGCCAGCATGGCGTGTTTTAAACATCTTTACGCCGCTGTTTATTCTCCCTAAATCAAAAATTTCCCTCGGCATATACATGTATTGTTACACAATGACGACGTTAATTGCTTTTTTGTTCTCGTGGGGAATTATGAGTTCAATGTGAAAAACATGTTACCATATTATAGTCATCGGCGACGAAATGCTAAAAATAATAATCAATGAAAAGGTAAATCCACAACTCAAATTTCTTGATTGAAAAGCGGCATTCTAAAATATTTAAACTGAAACTTAAAATGGAAGATCACACTTTGGTTTCAGCAGACTCACCTCAGATTGAAAACGCTTCTATAGACATTGTAAATCACAAAATTTGGTGTTATGTTAGGTTTTCATCGTAGTAGCTGCGAAATCGAAACACAGTCAATTGTGCGCGCGATTTACCTTTTTTTTTCATTCTGAAACTACCGACGCAGCCGCACGCAATCAATGGTGCGCGCGATCCGCGATGTACCTTTTTTCATTCTGAAACTACCGACGGAGCTGAATGCAATGAAATAATTTTCAATTGTTCGTATTTTCCCCAGACATTGTGATTTTTTAAACAGCGATATCTTGCTTAAAAATAATCTCAAGTGCGAAAGAACAAATCAAGTTTGACAAATACCAAGATCGCAAAAATACGACACCAATTTATTTATAGTTGGCAGTTTATCACATATTTTATGTTATTTTAGAATAGTATTCTTTCATTTTAGTAATCCTAATAGTAATCTCGAATCAAACGTGAGTAACGATGAGCACAACTACATTATACCGACGAGACACGTCAAATGCTCCATCGGTCTTGGATTGAATATTTTACGCAACAGAAATCTCGTTATCCGTTTTTTTAATCGCGAAAAATGTTGCGCGGAAATTTCCGATTCCAATTTTGAACCATCTCCCTCTTAAGAATCCTGGCTGCGCTACTGCTCATAAATAATGTCATTTTTTAATTCCGGCCCTTTACCATATTTCGAGGGTATATTGTTGTCGGATGTTATCAAAGCTGTTATTGCTTCTTTGAACAGTTACAAAATTTTGAGTCAGTTTTTTGAAGAGTAATCGAATAGCTCGCGGAGCCCTGGGTTTCTCTCGCGGAGCCCTGGGGCTCCGTACGGAGCACTTTGAGAACCTATGGTCTAACTTAAATCTTCGCTGTTCCAATGCCGCTTGTTTCTAACGTAATATGCATAATGTATAGTGTATATGGAAATTCATTGGCAGACATTATATAGCCTTATATCAGCTCTTAGGTAAGGCCATTAAACTCTCTCGTTGAGCGGCTTCTGTTCAATACATTTTGTTGGTTAACATTTTATCAACTTCATTTAATTATACGCTATTTTAACTTTTAGAAAAGATTGACCAAGGTAAATGGCAAAGAGATGAATACTGGCCTAACTGCCGTGCAGGGGAATCAATGGAAGCGGATAAGGTAAGGATATCAAAAAAGCAATTTGCGGCCGTTCAATATGAAAGTCATACTTGGATATTATTCAAGTTGTCATTTATGTCTTATATGAATTGGAATCAGTCAACTTACCTTTTAATTACGGATGTCAATGATACACACAGGCCAGTTTATTTCATGACAGTTCTATGGTTTCGAGTGCTGTTTTTCATGATACTGTGGTTTTAGTGTCGGTTGCTAATTAGATTTAGATTCTGAACCCCGTAATTTAAATCATGCGCATGCCAGAAGTAACTCGAAAATTTATTTTCTCGAAATATGTGGACAAATCAGAAGTGTTTTCATCATGAATTAGAAATAAAATGATTTTTTGTCAAAATGCTATATATTATTTTTACAGAAATACCATGACACCAACATTTTCTACTTCTAAACTGAAGCAAATGTGTGGTATAATCGACTGGTGTGCCGGCAATACTGTTGATGCACTGAATAGAAAAATTGAAAATAACGAAGGGGTGTTTAATTCAAAAGAGTAAGTTTTACTACTTACTATTTTGTTTAGTAACTTGATGAAATGAACTTTTTTCTGGAATTTTGACAATAATGCATCAAGGTCATTCTAAAGATTACTAATTTTGTGATTCCAGGATCTTTTCCCGTCTTTCATTGGATATAGTGTGCTCAGCAGCATTCAGCACCAAAGTTCACTCGCAGGATGATAGAGTAGAAGAGCCAGAAATTTCCAAAAATGCCAAAAAGTTGTTTAGCGGATCAATACTCAGTCCTCTTATCATATTGTTCCGTAAGTTGAACTGGAAGTATACTCAGATTGAATAATAAACTGTATAATTTTGCTGTATCGACGCACGCCTTGGTTTGTGGATATGTTGCTTGTTTTACCTCTTCTGTAACGGGCACACGGACAATTAGGCAACGAAGGTTGTCAATTCGGCCACCACATTATTTCATCAAGCTTTCAATGACCAAACTTTTTCTGGCATAGAATTTTTTGCGTCTAAATATAAATTATTGTGCAGCTGGTAAGTGCTAAGCAGAATTAACTTTATCGTCCAAATGTGATTCATCAGATATTTGCATGTTGTTATTCTCAACGACAAAAATATATTATTTATCAGGACATTGTTTTTTGTGTTTATGATTTTAGTTATCTTTCCACCTCTTGAAAAAATGTTTGCAAAATTCAACTTCTCAATGATGGGCGGTAATGGGTTAAATTACTTTAAAAAACTAGCAACACACGTAATGAATCAACGACAAGAAAATTCACATGCACACGTAAGTAAGCGATTTTTCATTTTATAACTGAAGATATTTATTGCAAAAGGAAGATTCCTAATGTGTTAATTAATTGAGTGCACATTTAGTTGTTTTTTGGAGTGCCATGCCCATACGATATATTCGTGAAAGATTTTATAAACATGACTAAAATCTGTATTCCAGGGCCGGGTAGATCTCATGCAATTGATGTTGGATGCTGAAGTATCAGAAGAGAAAATCAAACAAGGCGCGGAAAAAGGTAACTGATCTAACAGCATGTACAGTATATATGTGATTGTCACAACACGTTGCTGAAACTTTACTCCAAATCTGCAGTTTTCAACTGTGCTATCTACCTATTTTATGCTTATTTTAAACGAAAAAGGGGAAACATAGAAAATTAAATGTTCAAATTAGTAAATTTATAATTTTAAATAATTTCAATAAAACGATAATGGTGGCACTATTCGTACACAGTTTTTAGGTGATAATAGTGACGGAATATCACAGACTCATTTCAATCGAAATTGACGACGTTAGCTTGTTTTCAGGAATGACAAAAACAGAAATCATTGGTAATTCGATGTTAATGATTTTGGCTGGTTACGAAAACACTGGGAATACAATGAGCTGGACAGCTTATAATTTAGCCCAACATCCGGAAATACAGGTCGAAGTTCAAGAGGAAATCGATGAAATGATGAAAGTTGAGGTAAATACAGCTGAGCCTATTTGAGTTTGTAAACTATAACAACCTTCTTTCTATTCAACATCACGGAAACGGATTTTGCTTTCCATTTTATTCTGGGCACAGCGAGCAAACATTTTTGTTCAAATAAATGACGTCGCATACACAAAAGCAAATAAATCGAGCATAAAGTGAAAAAACTTCCCACGCATTCGTGTAGCATAACGAATCGTCCTTATAGCTCAGATACGGCTGAACGCTATTGGTCCTTTCGATGATTAGCTTGAAAGCTTTAATAATATTTTATACAGGGTAAATTCGACTACGAAAGCGTGACGAAATTGAAGTTGTTGGACATGTGCATCAACGAAACCCTCAGACTCTACATGCCGATTCTAAAGTATACATACTTTATTCATAATAAAAATATTTTCCTTCAAAATCCAATTGCTTCAATAATCAATAGGTATACTCTGTGAATGGTTATTTTTTCGTATAATAAGATTCATACGAATTCTACATGTCAATATACAAATGATCTTTGAAGTAGGAAAATTCGACACCTTGCGTTAAAAATGAATCTGTACCCACCGAATTAACTGGAACATTTCTTTACAGAAATGCTAGATATTGTGAGAAAGAAATCACTATCAACGGTTTAACAATTCCAGAAGGAATAATGATAAGTATACCATCATATGGACTGGCACACGATCCTGAATATTGGGACGAGCCTTATAAATTTAAACCCGAAAGGTAATTTATTCTTCAAAAATATAGTCGAATTTATTATCATCCCGTGAGTAGCATCTGGGTTTGCTTACGAGTTTCTTTATACAATTTCGCTTTAGTATCTTCTAGCATTGCATCAGCAGAAATTGGCCCAGTGCAGTCTAACTAAACGGATCTCATATACTTTTTTACAAATAGTTTATTCAAAATATTTGATGAATACTTTGTGTGGTATTTATTAAATCTGATTAACTCTTGAACATTGAGATTCATCATCAAAGATTTTCTACTTTAACGCCAATGCAAATTTAGTGGGGTTTTAAATTTCCGTAGAATATAATTTATACAGTATCATAATTTTTGTTTGTAATAAATCATTTCAGGATGCGGGACATGAGCCAAATTGACCCAATGGTTTATCAGCCGTTTGGGGCAGGACCACGTAATTGTATTGGATCGAGATTTGCTTTGATGGAAATTAAGATGTCTCTAGCAAAACTTCTGCATACATTCACTTTCAAGCCTGCTGAGGACACACCGGTAAGCTCAATAAAATGCAAAAAACTGTTGCGTTGGTATCATGGAATTGATCCTGGCTTTGACATTTCTGGGATATATTGGATAATACCCGACGTTTAGTATATAAAATACCGTATCTGTTTTTAGAAACCTCCTTTGAAGTTGATGTTTTCATTTTCTGTTCGTCCCAAAGTTGATTTCGATTTGGTTGCAGTACCTCGTCACACTGTTGCGACTTGATTTCAGATGATTTATTGTTGATGCCCCCGGCTAGAGTTCTCTTTGTGTATATTAACTACCTTCACCTAATTTCTGGTTGATTTGTTTGTTCTCTAATCATACATTTTGTGTATTTTATTTTCCTATGTGCAACTTTACTCATGTATGACGTATTCAGAATATATTACTTGCAGTGTAACTGTGTTGGAAATCTCATGACTCTCAAATTGCATTTTTGTCTCTGAAACAACTAGTCTAGAGTCCATTGGTTCCCAACTGCCGGTCCGCGAAGCTTTTTTGCCGGTCCGCGTGAAAATTTCGGTGTTTTGTTGTTTTTATGCCGTTTAAATCGCTTTACCGAGCACGAGGTTGCGTTGGTTTATTACGCAATTTCTCTTCCGCCGTCATATTGCGACATCTTGGCGCCGAATAATAATACTTTTCGCTTTTTCGGCTCCGATTCATCTCGAATGCGCTCCGATCTCTTTACCGAAGTCGAGGTTGATTAATTACGCAATTTCTCTTCCGCCGTCATATTGCGACGTCTTTCGCGACATATTGGCGCCAAGGAATCACACTTTTTGCTTTTTCGGCTACGATTCATCGTGAATGCGCTCCGTCAAATCTCGCAAGATTCAGATACCTAAAAATTGGCTCGCGTGCTTTTTCTGTACTGCATGCTTTTCCTGATTAATATGACCATCCAAATAAAACGTTATGCATATTTCTTTGTTCAAACCAAAAAACAGTCAAGAAAAGTATATTACTCCATTAAAATATGGCAGGTGGTCACGAGGCGCGCAAAAAGCATGGGCCGCTGAGATCTTTTTCTAGTATCTTGAGCAGACAAAGTAAGATTTTTGAGCCTGGTGCCAAATTACCGACGACTTTGTCATTGTAATGTAAATTCATCCTGAAGCATCGATCAACTGCAGAGGGATTAATATGATAAACCCAATGAAAAAGCTTGATTCAAATTGTGATTCTACTTTACAGTCCAGATTTAAAAATGAATCACTGTCACAATTTTGGATATCTCTTGATAACGAATACCCATCGCTAAGTAATCGAGCAATCAAACTGTTGTCTGTATTTTCAACGAGTTACTTATATTTTATTACTTATATATAAAAATATTTTCATCACTAGCTTTAATTAAAGCGAAGCAAGGAATTGGCTGCACGCCGCTGCAGGGCTACGTGTTGCAAAAAACTTTCTTGAGGCATCGTTTGCAATCCTATATTGGAAAACTAAACAGCAGCAAAATCTTCACTAGAGTTAATTGCGTTTGTACATAATTTAGGCATGTACCCGTACATGTTTTTTATGTGAAATGTTTTATGTGTGCTTTTCTTACGCATAATGGGTATCCAGCACTGCATTTCATTACGCATATATATTTGGTCGGCACATTATTTGATAGTTTTTCTTTGTGTGATCTGTTTTTGAGTGTGCCTTTTTTTGTCTATATGCATATTGAGTGCCCGACTTTGCATTGGATTACGCAAATATATGTTATTCTTTTACGTTCCGGTCATTTCAATTTTTCGCCGGTCCGCGAGTACGTTTAATTTAATTTTACCGGTCCGCCAGGGTAGAAAGGTTGAGAACCACTGGTCTAGACCAGTGGTTCTCTCAACCTTTTTCAGTTCGCGGACCGGTAAAATTCCAAAATAATTTTTGCGGACCGGCGGACCTTCAAAATTACCCGAAAATGTCATGAACACAAAACATAACCAAAGGAATGCAATTAGGACAAAAGTAGGCGGTGCAGAAAAAAGCGATCGAATTTAATGATAAATTTGCTGCTGTCTTTTTTATATTAAACGTGTTAAACGCTGTTCTAATGAAATTTCTGCAAGGCGAAGTATAGGGCCGTTTGAACTAGGTAATATTTTGCTGTTTGTTTGCCTCCATTTTACTATCAAATTTTGCTAAATTATATATAGTCCTACTGGCAAATTACGTAACGTGCGAACTGAATATTTTTCAATAAGGTACCGTACTATGTAGGGTTGGGACCCCGGGAAATCCCGATCCCGAAATCCCGGTTTGGACTGTTTTTTCAATCCCCATCGCGCAATTATTTCCTAAAAATCCCGGGATTTTAAGGCTTGTTATCCACATATAGATATTCTCACAAATTGTAGGTTATACCATCGCTTACAGTCTGACTAAGTGGAATTATTGTGCGAAATTTTACCAGAAATTATTATTTGACTAGTAGAATTGCCATTATTGCCAACTTATTCAGTCATAATTTGAATTCAAAATAGCATTCAGGGTTCACGCAATGACTTTGCAGGGTTTTATTCCCTATTTAATACGAAAATAAAACAGCCACAATAGAAAAGTAAAATCAAAAAGGTCAACTATCGTCTTCAAAAATATCCGCATTCCGGCGTCAGAAATGATAATATTTTTAGCTTAAAATTAGGACAGTTAATATACACACGGTGACAAAAAGATCAAAGCCGACCCAAAAGATAAAAATTGGAATAATATCCCGAATTCCATCCAATATTCGACAAGTCGTTAAAATTATTCGATTCGATGAAAATATACTATTTTGCCCACCCGATCTGTAATCAAGCCAGCAATCTGGCAAAATGCACTCTGATGCAATGAAACTTAATAAAACCTTCATGAATTTAGTAAATTGAACTACTTCACGAAAGCGTGGTGTAAGTGAAGATTATTTCATATCTCGAACACAAAAATAGTTTAATAGTTTTTCGCATAGTTTCTGCAGTCTGAAAAGTCGAATAAGCGTTTTGAAACAGTAAATGCTATGATCTTTGCCATCAAATTATGCTCGGGCCTTGCACGAAATTCATAGCGTGAAAACATACGTCCAGCGGTGAAAATTGTTTAAAACAACTTTAAACCTATTTAGTGTTTTAAGCGATAATAATTAATTGTTGTAATGAAATGAAATGTAGAAAATGTTCGTGTTTTGTGATAGGTGTGCCGCGATATAAAAAAAGTTGGGAACCATTGGGATTATACGGCTAAATACCGGCATTTCAAAAACTGGCTCCGAAATATCAACCGTAGTACTATGTGCTATCAAATTACTCAGTTATGACGTTAGCCGCCGTTATGAGGTCATAGACTTAACAAACATCCAGCCGTTCAGGACTTAAATGGGCAGAGGACCTCTCACCAAGTTTGCTTGTTAGGCGAATACCGGCACTTCGAATCAATAAGAGTTGAAAAAATCATAAAATAAATGGACATGCCGTCAATATTTTGTATTTTGCAATTTGATTATAATATATTGATATTGGAATATATTTTGCGGACCGGCAGGAAGGTTGCCGCGGACCGGCGGTTGAGAAACACTGGTCTATTTCTAGACTGTTCTGGACGCCTTTTCTAGATTAATCGGAACACCGATGTCTTGATTTTTCAGGAAAAAAATGTGCAATCTTTGTCGATGTTTCGTCATTTGTATTGGAGAACATCGAGTCTTCCACTTTATAGTTTACCAGCATGTTATGTATTGTTTAAAAGACCTCTATTCCGTGGACAGGCCTTTCACGCCAAAGCTAAGATACCAGATGATGACGACATATATTATATAAGCAAAAGGCAATTTCGAGATTTAGAAGTTACGGGCGAAAATGCAAGCTAATGGACCAATGTTCAGTTTTAAATTCTGGAATTTCAGACTGAACCTAATAAAAATGCTATTATTAATAAATTTCAATTTCTTTCATTTACGTGGCAGGAAATTAGGTGACAGCTTGACATACCAAAAACTTAATGAAAGGGAATTAAAGAAGAATTCTGATGATGCGTGACAACAACAGAGTTAAAAAAATCTTCAAATATCGAGAATGAAATACAGCATTATGTTTCGAAACTGTTTCCAGCTCATAAGTCTAAATCAACATCACCCATTCGAGAATATAGTGAACCACGAGTCTCACTCTAAAGGTCGTTTCATGTGTATCACGCGAAGATAATATGGAAGTTGTAGATGCCAAATTGACGATTGGTCAGATTATTTGGAGGTAATAATATACATGGTGGCGGTTCACGCGCCTCGCATAAATTTAACCAGGGCAAGATATTAAGCCAGTTGTGTTCACGCGCTTGGTTATGATATCCAAGTAGAATAAAAATCAAGTTGATTTATTGCGAAGTTAGGAAAAAATTATTTCATATTTTTCCCGCTTTTGTCAAGAGGATGATTTTCTGTTGCGTAAAATATTTCATCCGTGACCAATATCAGCATTTAAAACGTCTCGCCGAATTAATTTAATTCTGTTCAACGTAACTCGCGGCTGCGTCAAAAAACATTAACATTGAAAAAATATTAATATATACTCTAAAATACCACGTCGTTTTTCGGACATAAAAATACGAGTATAATCAATTTTGATTTGCATCTTTGCGATCTTGCGAAGTCGTTTAAAAATACCAAAGTCTGGTTTAAACTCTAGTTAACCGAGAGTTTATGCTTTTCACTGAGCTCTGTTTAGGATTGCTTTAAGATAACAAGCATCCTATAAATTTGGTGCCCTGAACAACTGAATGCAACCTTCTTGAGAGGAACAGATCAACGGAGGAACACAACCAGCAACGACGACAAATCAATGCACGGAATCTCAAAAAAAAATAGAGGAACACAAGATAAGTTCACGTTAATATTATATCCTTTAAGTCGCATATACGGGTCCATGCTAATCTAATAGATCTCCTATCTTTCAACAGTTAACGACATTTTACGATTATCGACGAAAAAACAACTCTACGACATCGACACGAGGATCCGGATCAGCGACTATTAACGCGAAGAAGACGAAATCGCCTAAGGATATTTCTACGGACATTCTGTCTTTCATTCAATTTACTGCATATTAATTTTGGTATGTACTGCAATTTTCTTTCCTCTTTCTTTTCTTATAATCCGTATTCCCATGAGAGCTAGTGTCTTCCCATTTGATTTATTTAAAAAGGCCAAATCTAATTTAGCTCCAACCGATAATAAGAGTAGTAAATTACCTAAGCCAGAAGACGTATTAAAACCACCCTTAATTATTAAATCTCAGTTGCCCGATAATAATAATATGCAGTCAACTAAACAATCGCCTAAACCGTCTAGTCAGAATTATGATTTATTCGAACCTATAACTTCGTCGTCAAGTAGGAGACCTCTATCACATTTTGGAGATAATGACCGTGATAATTTTAAAATACCGC